CAGCGCCCGAAAGGCCTGTGTTTAAGAGTTTTACCGATATATTCACGTCGAGACTCAATGAGCGAAAGGACGACCACTTGTTTGACTTGACATTCAATGACGACATAATGTTGGATACCGTGCGGGACGGCGACGACATTCACCACAGCCCCACCCGTGTGGTGTCTGTCACTCCCACTCTCCCGACCACTACCACCACTATTACGGCCGTACTTACACCCGAGCCAACCGACAACACCGATAAGGCGGCGCCGGCTGTGGCCGAAGCGGCCGACACTCACCTGACTTTTCCCTATTCGCCGGTTTCGTCGGTCAGTTTGGACGACATCGAGATGGAGCCGCCGATGAGCGGCGCGCCGGACATGCAATCGCCGCCCAGACATCACTATAAGTCGCGCTCATTGAACGCGTTGTTCAACAAAGAGCACAACGACTCGCCGACGAGACCAATGATAGAGAAGTTGGCGCTCAGAAGCGATCCAGCGGTCGAGACACGTGCGGAGACGTCGCCAATGACCGCCACCGCCGGTGAGAGACCACCGGTCGCTACCGATGTGGCAGCAAACGGGTCGCCCTCCGGAGGTAAACCTATTGATTACAGTTTGGGTAATGATATTAGCAATAAGATGAGCGCCGCGGCGGCCGATATGTCGCTACTGTCGTCCCGCTATAATCCGGCCATTGATTATCAGGCAATCGGCGATAAATCGCATGAGTTATTAGATTACAATTCAATAGGTATAGTGTTGTCGTGTTTAGCGGTTGTGTAACCAAACAAAACAAATGCATGGCATGAATAGCATTACATTTTTATTTTTAATTTTACCTTATTTTTTAATATTCACTATTAATTTACATATTTTTCTGTGTTATGTGACAGTCATTGGGGCGCTGTTTGGCGACACAACGACACCAGACTATCAGCAAACGCCAGACAATCATCGCTCACTACCAATGCCTACACCAGCGCCCGGAGCAGCCAATTGGTTGTCCACATCGACCCCATTCAACGCTCAGCAGCCGTTAAGTTATCCATCGGGTCCGCCACCGGCCCCGCGACCGCCTTCGTTGCCGCTCTCATCGGCGACACACTTAACCGGCGCTCAATTACCGCATCAAATGCCGCCCATATCTCAGTCCCATATGATGTCCACAACACACCCGTCGCTATCATCGCATCTGCCGTTTAGTCAATCCATGCCTCACGTGATGAACCGGTCGGCAAACGGCGGCGAACTTCAGACCACATCCAACATCATATGCGATGTGATGTTGAGTCCGTCGCAAGACTCGAGTCTCTCTAATATGGCCGCAAATAATCATCAAAATCACAGTTAATTTGGTTTTTCAGTTAGTTTTTAGATCAGTTTTTATTAATTTTTATGTTTATTGATAGGAAATATGGACAAAATGCCTGCAATGCCGGCCAACACACAGTCCTACCACACAATGTCCGCCACGTCTGTGATAACGATGAACTCAAACATGCAGTCAATGGGACCGCAACGGCCATCGATGCCGCCCAATGATCAGTCAGTGGCCGACGCGTCCAATTGGCCACTGCTATCGCAGACCAATAATCAGCAACAATACCAACTGCAACACAGACCCCCTCCGCCGGGGCCGCCATCGGTGGCCAACAGCCGTATGTCGGCGCCAGTCATGCCGTACGGCAACGCTCAACAGTACAACCGGTTCGGACCGATGCCGCGGTCGCCGGTGACGTCTACTACGACCAGACCGACAATGCATACGCTTATGCCGAGCCCAATGAGACCGACAATGTCTCAAATGACCAGCCGTTCGTCGACTATGCCGTCGATGATGTCCGGCTCTCACATGTCATTATCGCAGGTATTTATCAAAGATATGCCATTAGTTGTCATGATTTTTGACATAAATTTATTTGTATTTTACCGGAATCTAGAGTCAAAGCCATCCCTATAGACCAATGGTCCCAATGGTCTCATATCAGCCACCAGTCGATACGATGCGCCGATCGTCTCAAATGATGCCAAACGCCAGTCACAGCGGACTTATGCCGCAGTCCACCCTCTCTTCAGCGTCGGCGCCGCGTTTCCCCGCACAGGGAATCCGGACAAACATGTCGGACATACGGCACATGCAGTACAACAGTAGACCCGATGCCAGTATAATACAACACACGCATACCTCACGACCGCCGCCACCACAGGTGCCCGATATGAGACAACAACGGAGCGGACATCCGACCACTATGTCGCCGATGGGCGCCAACATGTCGTCGCATTCATCGCAGTTACGATACCATCACATGTCTGGACACTCGACATCACAGCACCGGCGGCTAATTGATTCACCGACGACTCTACAGCAGCAGTCCATGTCTCAGCCTTCGCTGCCACCGATGTCTACAATGTCTGGTCATTCGCAGCACAAGTCGTCCCCCCTTTACGAGAGACCACGCATTCCGTACGGAA